CTTGCCTTCGGATGGCTCGGCTCGCCGGGGTTTGGGTTGAGCTTGTCTTATCCCCCTAAGAGGCGCTGTTGCCTAAGACGCTCAGAGTGCGCCTGCTGTCTGCTGCCCATGATTTTCGTTCCCAACGATACAAACACTAATAACAAAGCTTTACACTCTAAATGTTGTCCTCCATTTCCGGTATCCCAAGTGTACCACATATGCGTGCATTTTTTTCTTTGATACCTACCTGCCCCGTACAGTGGACTCTCGATAACTGTCGCCGCGACAGTTATCGAGGGTACTGTGCGTTCGCTGCTGCCGTGCTCCGCTCTCCCCACTCCTCCAGCAAGCGAGCCGAGCGAGCCGCCGGAGCCGGCAGTCAGTCCGCATGGAACGCGCTATTTTTCTATAGCTATCTCTCTCGCACGCGACAGTTATCGAGGCGCCAGTTATCGAGAGTCCACTGTATTTAGTAATTTGTGTGTACGTGTACGTGACCATGCACGCATTTAAAGCCGAAGTACACTATTTTCTGCATACGCGTGCATGTACTCACTTTTGACTAAATCCATGGCAGGTATTCAGGAAGGAAATAAACGCATAGGTGTGGGTATTCTGGGGTGTTCCGCTGCATCAAAACTGAAGGTCGAACTACCTCGAGCCAGTCTCTCTGGGTGTGCCTCAAAATGTGCCCACTAGGGTGGAGTGAAAATCTGGGACCGAAAAAGTACCCCTGGATTATAGTACTTCACGATATCCTAAGAATAGCGGCATAGTCCATTTTGACCCATCGGCTGACCTTCAACCCCTCTCGAGGGGTCAAAGTTAGGTTTTTGAGGAAAATTGACACTTTTTGCCCCCCTGAACTTATATAGGAAGATACACCAGGAGTCGATACGCTGTGCGATAACATCTTCAGCTCGCAACAGAGACATTTAGGGTGAAAACGGGACTTTTTTCGATGCGAAAAACGACGTTTTTCGGCTATAACTCGGAAAATAATTGTCTCAGCGAAAAGAGTCCAGAATGAAACCGTTTTGTCTCGTCAAAACGCATCTAGAGATGTATGGGACGACCGGATGTGGCGTACGACAACCGGGAGTGCTAGCAATAGCTTGGTAAGGAAACCTCAATTTTTTACCATAAATGTCTCTGGGGCGAGCTGAAGATGTTATCGCACAGCGTATCGACTCCTGGCGTATCTTTCTATATAAGTTCCGCACCGAACCGCATATAGCCGTTTCCGGGATTATGCCTAGGGCGGGCCCAGGGGGGCAAAAAGTGTCAATTTTCCTCAAAGACCTAACTTCGACCCCTCGAAAGGGGTTGAAGGTCAGCCGATGGGTCAAAATGGACTCTGCCGCTAGTCTTAGGATATCTTGAAGTACTATAATCCAGGTGTACTTTTTGGTCCCAGATTTTCACTCCACCCTAGTGCCCACCTTGTTGAGAGCGTATGCGGTGCGAATGCACGTGCGCCCATCTACACTAGAATATGCAGTGCCGAAAGTTCCGGTGAGCGAATGCGCTGACGCTGCGAGGTGCTGCACTCCACGTGACTGCGAAGGGCTCTATGGAAGTTATAATGATACGCCGCGGGGCTATTGTCCGAAAAAAGTACGTCCGTTTTTGTTTTTTGTTCTGCGATTCATTCACAGCCTAAGTTGCACCAGCTCGGCGTGAGCTTGGCGCCTGCGAGTCTCGGGGTAGGCCATCCCGCTGCACACGCATGCACCCCACGCGCGATGTGGCCCACCGACCGGGCGCTCCCGCAGCTCTTGCAGAGGCTGCTGGAGCTGGCGGTTTGGTAATGACAAACACGTGCCTTGTGGATGGTGGTCCCTTGTAAGTAACACTCGCTCTCCTGCAGGTTTTGGTTTCTTGTAATTTGCCGTGAAATACAACACAACTTTAGAGTGAAATTACCTACGTAACCTACTTTCTACTTCAATAAAAATGGTAACGAAAAAGAATTCATGCCAGTTGCTTTTAGCCCGCCCTTCTGCTTTGAAAAAGCTATTCAGCGGGCTTATGCAAACGACCTGGTGTGTGTCTGTCTGTGTGTCTGTGTGTCTGTGTGTCTGTCTGTCTGTCTGTCTGTTCCACTAGAAGGAGATGTGCTAGAGACTTGAAATTTTCAGGGTATCTTAAGGTCCACTCCTAGAGAACGAAACGCCTACGGCAAATCCTGGCAACCACCCCTAAAGGGCTAAAAGGGGGTATCAAAGAAAATAAGGTAGGCCAAAAAAGTCAGAAAACATATTTTTTTTATGATCTCCTAAGGGGTAACTCGTCAAAGTAGAGCCCTACGGGCGAAAATTTTGTCTGTTTTGCTCTATCTTCTACCGTTTGGGCGCTAGAGGGAGTTTCTATCACGAAAGTGGCCCAAAAATTAACATATTAATTTTAGAAAATATTAGATGGTCTCCTAAGGGGTAACTTGCCAAAGTAGAGGCCTTCTGGCGAAAATTTCGTCCGTTTGGCTCTATCTCTAACCGTATAGGCGCCAGAGGGTCTTGTTTGACGAAAATAAGTTAAAAATTGCTGTAGTGAACAATTAAATGTAAAAGACGGCCCAAAACCGCAAAAAAGGTAAGAAACTCACTCCCCCCACCCCAAAAAACGTTTCCTTAGCAGAAGGGTGGGTTGTAGTCGCGGTGTTTCACCGTTACATCCCTTTCTTGTGTCTACGGGGCAAATTTTAAGGACGACGGGCTTTGCGGGCCGAAGGCCCGTTACATCATTTGATTATGTTACAGCAAATCGCGTGACAGAAATGGTCGGGCCGCAGGCCCGACCATCGCCGCCGGCAGGCCAAGCAGGCCCGGCCCCTGCCGAACGGAGTTGCCGGCGCAGCGAAGCGAAGCTGGCAACTTCGTTTGGCGGAAGGGCGGGCCTGCTTGTTTTATTTATTGTTATTTTTGTCCTCATTCGTACAGCACGGGACTATACATCATGCTTGTGATTGCTCGTTGCGTATGCAGAGGGCTCGCCCTGTACCGCCCTGCAGCGCTAGGCGCCTTGCCTGAGCCGACATGAGCGAACATTCATGCCCCCCTCCTCCTTACGCGTGCTATTTCCCCCGAGGCTTCGTGCTCTCGAGTAATTGCCATGCAAAACTCTCGTTTTTCTACGCTCTCTCTCTCTCTCTCTCTCTCTCTCTCTCTCTCTCTCTCTCTCTCTCTCTCACACACACACACACACACACACACACACACTCTTAACTTTGATCTACTTCATCTACTTCCCTCATCACTCCGTTTTTCCTCTTGGCTCTTTCTCATGATATTCAAGCTATTACAATAGTTGTTCTAAAAATGTAGAAGCACACTACCATAATAATTCTTCAAAGAACCCTTGGATTTCGTTCTGTTCTTGTGTTTCGTTTTGCTCTTCTTGTGGTTCGAGTTTCCTTGAACCGTTTTATTGATTTATTTTAATTAAATGCCACTTTTGTTGAAATACCTAGCCATCACTAAATACTAATTTACAAAGTGAGGCTTATTTTTAGCCCTTTTGTGTGTGGTCTCAAATCAAATTATTTCAATTTCTCCGTCTCGCTGGCTAACGTGGCTTCGAACTATTCCATTATTTGTTTGGACTACAAGTTTGGTATGAGGTCGCAAGAGGGCTTTAACAGTGCGTGACGACTCCTTGAGAGGCGGCAGGGGACAGTGAAGGTGGGCGTCCTTTAGTTAACGCAGCACACATTGCACGGACAGAGAGGCGAAACAGACACGGCAGGTTTTTTTTCATACATGCCCGTTGGATAGTTTGTTTACTTTCAAAGGTTTTGGCTGGGAAAAAAAAACTTAAATGGGCGGCGCCGGCCGTGACTGCCGGTGTTGTTTGGCTGCAAACCGCATAGCTGGGGCAGGATGGCTTCCCATCCAGTTAATGAATGTTGCCGATGCGCAATGGCCATTGGTGTGTGTGTGTGTGTGTGTGTGTGTGTGTGTGTGTGTGTGTGTGTGTGTGTGAGAGAGAAGGGGACATGGGACATGCCCGGCTTTATCGATGTGGCCAGTGAAAAAGAACGGAATAATGCACGTCACTTTTCTGCAGGAATGTAGTCATTCGCTTGAACTAAACACTGTGAAAAATATCATCGTAAATTTACGACATTTTTGTAAACTTGAATTATAATTTAGGTTGTAAATTTACGAGAGCACACTTTTTACTCGCATATGCATTTTAAGTCGATACGCACTGCATGTATTTTTACGATTACAAATTGTAATTTCACAACTTGCGCCAAGGAATATTTTTCTATAAACCTTACTACCATTTTTCACAGTGAAAGAGTGATGAAGTAATGTACTACATCGGGAGGAATTCGCTCATCTGCTGGCGTTCGAAACATTGCGTTACGATGATATTACTCGTTTACTAACGTTTACCATGGCGCTTTCGAAAAATAATCATACCGACATCGAAGCATGCGCAGTCCATTCCATGTCGCGAAAAGGAGATCATACATCATGGGTGTTGTTTGTGGTGTCTTTCTGATGCCAGCTTGCCATGTTGTGGGCGACTACTTGTCGGTGTAAGCAGTCTATCATCATCATCACCGGTTAAAAGTGCACGGCGGCTAATGTTTTTTATTAAGAAGGAAGCCTCCCCCACCACCCTTCTCCGTGAAAGCCCAGCATATCGGTAACGAGGTCCTTAACGGCCAACTTTCCAAACAAAACAAAAGCCCCGTCGCCTCGGCCCCAGCGGGCAGTGGCGCCCTCTCGGGGTGGCGGGCGCAGGCG